CGCTTGCGTGCGCACAGCGGAAGAAACCGATGCAGCATGGCCACCCTAAGCTCGATAACTAAATGGGCGTCACCTAGTGCCTGACTCGCATCCCGAAGAGGCCCCAATGTGGAATGATGCATTGCGATACAATACGCGTTCCTCAGTGCTCGCGCGCGCGCTCATGCGCGCGCGCTCTTGAGCGTGCAATGCAAAAGTTGATGCCGAATAGCCATCGTAACTTCGAAAACGCAACGGCAAAAATCTAGCGTGTCACTCATATTCTGGGGGGCTCAACGTGGAATAGTGCAATGTGGTACAATGCGCTTCACTCCTTGCTCGCGCGCGCGCGGGCGCGCGCGCGCGCTGGCGCCCGCGCGAGCGCCACGCAAACACCGAAGCCACATCGCCATCATAAGCTCGAGTTCTGAATAGTGGTAACAAGCTGTTCCACATATATGCTGCACGCAATCATGCATTGCGGCGCAATGCGCGCCCCTCGTTGCACGCGCGCAACGCGTCAACCTGCGCCGAATAACCACCTTAGTTTAGAAAACCTGAATTGCGGAAACCAATAGTTTCACTTGTATCCTGGGGCCCCAGCGTGAAAAACAAATTGCGACGCAATGACCTGACCTCGTTGCACGCGCGCGTAATGCAAAAACTTATTAAGGCAACCGGTGCAGAATAGCCATCATACTTCTGAGACTTGAATGGTGGAAAACCAAGCGTTCCACTCACACTCTGGAGGCAGTAAACGTGGAATCATGCAGAGTGGCCCACTCTGCGTTCCTCGTTGCGCGCGCGCGTGCGCAATGCAAATGTCCCATGCGTAACAGCACTCTAAGTTTATAAGATGCTGACTGGTGAAAGCCAATTGTATCACTCGCATTCTGGGGGACTCAACGTGAAATGATGCCTTGCGTCACGATGTAATTTCCCGGTTGATCGCGCGCGCGCACGCGCGCGCGTGAACAAGGCAAAAGCTCAGACCGAATAGCATCCTTACTTTCGACAACTGAACGGTGGAAACCAATCAGTTCACTCGTATTCTGGAAGCCGCAGCGCGGCATAATGCATTGTGGCACAATGAATTGCCCTCGCTGCCCGCGCGCGCACGAGCGCGCAATGTAAACGCGCTTGCATAATGGCCATGTTAATCTCGAAAACTCAATGCTGCGAATGAAATGTCTCATTCGTATTCTGGAGGCCTCAACGTCGAAAAATGCAATGCGGTGCAACTACGCGTTTCACTCTATTCTGGAAGCCTCAACGTGACATGATGCATTGTGGCGCCTGGTATTATCCTCGTTGCTCGCGCGCGCGTGCGCGCGCCCGCGCGTGCGAAATGCAAACACGCATGCGTAATAACCATCTTAACCTCGAAAACTCAATGGTGAAAAACAACTAGTTGCACGTGTATTCTGGGATGTGTGCATCGTGGAACAATCGACTTTCCGGCGCCAGCATGGGCCGCGCGCTGGCGACCGCTTCCACGGCGCCAAGCCCCGCGGCCGCCAAAGATGTGGCCGCGGCAGCCCAAGGGTCGGGCACCTCCTTGGCCATGCTTGGGCCTAATGCAGCGGGGCGCGACATCGCGCGCGACCGCATTCCAGAGAATGCACAAGGCCCGCGGACGCAACGAGAAGAACCTCCGCTCCAATGGGGGCCCGGGGGAGGCAAACATAATTCACATTAGCTCCTGGGAAACAATGAGACGCTGCGAGCTTACATGAGTCCCCAGGCTTCGCGTGGAACCAGCGACGGGCCAGTGGAACGACTGGGCGAGAATGCCGAGTGAAGGCGGGGCACACAAGGGGCATCTGTTAACGCGATGAACCATCTGGCGTCCAATAGGCACCGACACGGGTCTAAAGGCAGGCGAGGGATGCAGCCCGAGGGCACCATCAGGCACCGATTGCATACCACTGGGGCGTACTGCATCACACTGACAAGGGCGCATTAACAGTCCAACGCGTTCGAACATGATGATCCTGGACGCACAGGGCCCAGTGAGACTACTGAAGCCGTTTCCCCGCAACCCCAAGATGTGATGCACTGCGCGCCTGCAAGGGGCGCTGGGGTCATGCTCTGTGGGGGTGTTTTGCATTTTCGATCGCCCGTCGAGCCCGCGCAACCGAATCCAGATGCGATCGACGACTGGCCATTTTTATTGCATCAAGAACGCTTCAAACAAACGCTGTAACAATCGGATTCCTAATGTGCTGATTGTTTTCCGCCTGGAAAACAGGATACAAAAAAACACTGCACCTGTCAGATTAGGCGCGCGCTGCTCGGGCGAGACTCCAGGCAGATACCCCGCCGCAAGATCCGCGACCGCCCCAGGCCCCAGGTGCTCACAAATCATCACCATCATCATCATGTCTGCGACAGGCCTCTTCTCCACCACGCCAAAACGAGGGTGAACGCCTGCGCATTTGGATGACATCCGTTAGCACTGACTACGAACGCAGAGGAAAGCGCCGAGCCGAACTATTCGTTCACACGGTGTTGTCGGTTAATAACCCAAATTGTGTCGGAGAAAATGGAAGGTGAAGAGGGGCGGTTACGGGATCGCCGAGAAACTTGAGGAACGGGCGGCGATGGAAGCTGGCCTTCCCCAGGCAACCTCGTGCAAGCGCTGTCAATGTCTGTGGCTGGCCTCTATTGCATCACGCCAGAACGAGGGAGGGCACCTGCGCGTCTGAATGATGTCCCGCAGCGCTCACCATGACTTTAGAAGTGAGCGACGAGCCGAATCATTCATTCACGCAGCGCTGTCGGTAAAAATCCCACGCCCAAAGATTTGCGCTGGAAGTGCGAAGCGCGGTTATACATCGCACGCGCGGCCAAGCACCTAGAGCCCCAAGAGCCTGGACGCGCGGGGGCAAAACAAGGCGGGGCAGGGCTGAGCGATCCAAATCCTAAATTTGCCGCGTTTGTTTTTGCCTACCAATTTGTTCGTGGCACTTTCCAAGAAAAACACACCTGCCGCTTTTCATTTTGTATTTGAGCAGGCCCAGGGGCCCCGGGGCATGAAAAGCCAAAAGGCAAGTTTTCTTATGCCAAGGGGTCGCATGGCCGCAGAAACGCCCGAAAGAGCGCGTTCTGCGGTCGCTCGGAGGGGGGGGGCGGTGGAAACCGGACCCCCCGCCCGTGGATGGAGGGGGAGGTTCGAAGCCCCCCCGCCTCTCCTCGGGCCGGCGTTCGCGTCGGCGACGGCTGGCGGCGGCGGCGACGATTTCCTTTTCTGGGCCGGCGCCGGCGCCTGCGGCGGCGGGCGGCGGCGGCGGGGACCGTCGACGAGGACGACTGTGGTGGTGGTGGTGGTGGTGGGTTGTGGTGGCCGTGGTGGCGGTGGTGGTGGTTTGTGGAGGTGGTTGTGTCGTGGTTTGTTGTGGTGGTGTTGGTTGTTGTGGTGGTGGGAAGTGGTGGTGGTGGTGGTTTGGTGGTGTTGTGGTGGTAGTTTGTGGTGGTGGTTGTGGTGGTGGTAGCTTGGTGGTGGTTTATGGTGGTGGTGGTGGTGGTGGTGGTGGGTTGTGGTGGTGGCGGTGGTTTGTGGAGGTGGTGCTGGTGGTGGTGGTGGTGGCGGCGGTGGTGGCGTGGTGTTTTGTGGTGGTGGTGGTGGGTTGCGCTGCTGGTAGCCGTGTTTTTTTGTGGCGTTGGTGGCGGTGGTGCGGTAGATTGTGATGGCAGTGGTAGTGGTGGTGGGTTTTTGTGGTGGTGGTGGTGCTGGTGATGGTGAGTTGTGGTGGTGGTGTTTGTGATGGTGTGGTGGTGGTGGTGTGGTGGTGGTGGTGGTGTGGTGGTGGTGGTGGTGTTGGGATGCGGTGGTGGCGGTGGTTTGTGGAGGTGGTGCTGGTGGTGGAGGCGGTGGCGGTGGCGGCGGTGGTGGTGGTGGTGTTTGCGATCGTAAGTCGTGGTGGTGATTGTGGTGGTGGTGGCTGTGGTGGTGGTTTTTGCGCGGTGGGTTGGTGGCGGTGGTAGGTTGAGGCGGTGGTGGCGGCGGTAGTGGTGGCGGCGGTTGCAGTGGTGGTAAGGGTCGTCGCTCTGCCCCCGCGGTCGCTGGAGCCGACGCCGGCGCCGCTGGCCGCCGCCAGTGCCGGCGGAGCTGGGGGGGGAGAGGGGCGGGGCTTGAACCCCCCCCCTTAGGGCTGCCTCTGGCCATCGTCGCTGCGCCCCCGCCGCCGACGCTGCTGGCCGCCGCCAACGCTTGCGCCAGCGCCGGGGGGGGGGGCTCGGGAGGGAGCGGGGTTTTGCGGGGGAGGGGTGTCCGAAAGCAAACTTATCGGTTGCTATGCTGTTGATTTGCAGCTGGGAAATGGATCCTGCCCGAATGCCGACGACGTGATCCATTAGCATGCTGATGCGGCGCCCCCTGTGCCGATGGGCCTAGCAACGAGTGCCAGCCACGGCGGCGGCATCGCCCCAATCCTCCCAACCGTCGATATCGAGCGTCGTTCCCCTAGATATTTCCCGTTAGAACCGCCTGAACGCGTTTAAGCACCCAACGTTTCACTAATTGTCGCTTGGCTTCGACGCTCTGTCGACACTCGCGAAAGCGCCGCCAATGGCGCCCGCGCGTGAAATACATTGTGAAATCTTAGGTCGCTTTAAGGTTCAGGCGGTTCAAACAGAAACAACTTTAAGAAACGCGCGGCAAACGCCCCAAGGCGAATTGCAAGCGGCAGGAAAAGATGGCGGGGGCGGGCCGGGGTTTTTCGCAATCGAGTTTGCAAACGAAGCGAGCCATCCCGAGCGAGTCCTGCCCCCGCGCGCGTCGCGCGCACATGCAGGCCAAGCCGAGAAGCTAGCAACTAGGTGGCCCTGCTGCCGCGAGCGGGACGGCCAGCGCAGCAGCGACCGCGACAACAATCCCAAGCAAGTCCTGCCCTCGAAAGCACCGCGCAAACTCTGCACGCACGCAAGGAACATAATCCCAAGGCGACGGTTTGCCTCATGGCCGCGATCTTGACGGCCAGGCAACGGGCCCCCAATCGTGCCTGGGCCGTTCGATCAGATCATGCGCTGGCGTGGGCCGCGTCGGAGACGGCCGCGTCGCCCTCGTTCCAGCGGCCTGCCATCGACGGCCACTGCGTGCCAGGCTCGATGTTGCGTTGCTCCTCCTGCGCGATGAGCTGCCCGCCGCTCTCGGCCGCCCCGCTGGCCACCGCAGCGCAGCCCGCCGCGCGGTTCGCGTCCGCGCTGACCCTCCTGCGTGCAAGGCAGCCCGCAGACCTCGGGCGCGCCGCCAGTCGCCGCAGCCGCATCGACATCCAGCGACTTCTCCATCTCCTGGGCCAGGTGGCACACCTGCATCCTCTGCCGGGCCGCCTCAGCAGCGCCCTCATCGCACGGGCGGTTGCGTTTCGCCGAGAATGCCTTGATCGTCTCGCCGCCCACTGCTTTCAAGGCGATGCGGACACTGCGCGTCTTCCAGACGTGGTCGGCCACCGCGTGGAACACCCCCTTGATGTCGGACATGGAAGGCGTGGCCACGCACGTGCCGTCGAACACCAAACTCAAGACGCACGCGTGCAGTCCCTCGGCAGCAACAGCCATGCTCTCGAGGATGTCGCCCCCCATCGTCCGCAGGTGCAGCGAGGGCGCCGAGGACCCTGGATGCGCCTTCTGCAGTACCTTCTCCATGGATGCAACCGTGCGGTTCTTGGAAGTCCCCGCTCCACTGGTGGCCCCCGCCGCCGCGGCTGGGCTCGCCGCGGGAGAGCAGCGAACCCCGAAGCCGCGCGCGGTCGGGCAGGCCAGCGGCAACGTCGAATTCCAGAACCTCGCCTTCTTGCGATCGTCACACTGAGCCACCAGGATCTCCTGGCCGCGCCTGAAAGCGCCCCTCAACTCCATCAAGCACGGCAGAATCTCGTCGGGGCGATCGCTCTCCCAGGATGCATCGGGCTGAAGGCGCCCCTTGAACGGTAGCCGCGAGAAGATTTCCTTGGCCTCAGACACGTCGATGTTATAATGCTGAGCCACGGCGGGGCGCCACACTTTGGACTTACCCGAGCGCATCTTGACGATCCCGAAGTCGCGCTCAATGGCTCCATCCGGAACGTGCGGACGCAGCGCCTCCAGGAATATCTGGTAGAACCCGCAATCATGTCGAACTCACCCACCGCCAGGCCGTCGAACGCGACGACTCGCGTCGCCCTGGTGCAAGACGGAAGCCCTGGGCCTGACTCGCGCGCGCGGCCGATCTTGCTGAGCTGACAGTACTCGCGGCCATGGGCGGGGATGTCTGGGCACTCTGGCACGGAGGTCGGGCGGAGGAAGCCGTCCTTCATGGCGCGGGCCTTGCCCGCCTGGCCCAGGAGATCCATGTGCGCAGACAGCCCCTCCTGGCGACGCTCGCCCGCGACGGCGGCCCCCGAGTCGCGCCGGGCCCGCAGCGCGGTCAAGCTGGCTGCCTCGCAAACAGCGCAGCGGCAGCGTCTGCTCGGCACTTCGGCTTCGGCGGGCTTGGCGAGCGCGTCCTCGACGGGGGCGCAAGCGTCGAAAGAGACGTTGTACGCGTACTCCGCGAGGTCGCCGAACGTGGCAGCGTCCGCGAATAGCTGGTTGTACAGCGACGCGTCGAAGGGGGGCAAGGCCACGCGCGCCCGCATTCTCTGCTCGCGTGACTTCGCGGCCCGGGTGGGTAGCCCACCGCGTCGTCTTCGGGGCGGCCACTGGCAGTTCGCACCTGGTCTGCTCCACCTGGCACTGCAGGAGGGCGAGAGCGAATGACTCCACGTTCGCCTCGCCCTCGTGAGCGCCGTCGCCGTCCACCCTGCCCCACTCGGCCATCCGCGCCTCGAGCCAGTGCGCCGCGGTCTTCGCCCCTGTCGCTGCCTGCTCGCGCAGCGAGAGGCCCCCGCTCGAAGGCGCGGATGACCTGATGGCGATGGGGGTTGAGCAACAGGCCGATCGCGAACTGGGTCCTGCCAATCTCCGCCTCGAAACCGTTGTCCTTGAGGAAGGGGCGCGGGGGCGTGGGGGCGCCGAAGGAGTCGCACAACTTGTTCGGCATGTGCATCGGCAGCAAGCGGTCGCGCTCCGAGCCCCGAGGAACCTGCCCCCGTGACGGGATGTCTTTGCATGCGGGAATGCAAAGGCACATTGGGTCTCATCTTCTCGGTATCGCCCGAGTTGCACGCGCGGACTGTAATGGGGTCGGTCGAGTTCCTGCTCTTGAAGACAGCGTTGCTCCAAGCCGCGGAACGCACGTCGCTGCCGAAAGCTACTAGAACCCCGCGACGGAACACGCCCGCAGCGTTGCGCTCGTGTTCGGAACGCTCGTCCGCTGTAAAGACTGCGGCTCGGACAGGAACGCGGTGCTCTCCCCGGACAGCCTGGGAGATCCTCTTCGCAGATCCCCTTGCCATTCCGGCCCCGCCTATTCCACAGCAGCACGCACTTGCATAGCGGAGCGCCTGCGAAGAGCCGAGCCTGCAAATGCATCATATGCTGGAAATTCTCAGCGCCCGCGTCCCCGAGCTGCTCGGCGCAATCGTCGGGGCGACGGTCGCCCCCGCGCTTGTGCAGCGACCACAAGATCGACCCTGACCTCTGGCGATCGTTGGCCGACTCGGATTCCACGAGGTCTGAGTTCTGCAGCCACCAGTCGACGAACGTGACCACCCTGTCTCAATGCCCTGAAACGCGCGTTAGCCTTCTGGGTTTCACGCAGCGATTCCCCGCTTGAGCCGCCCGAACCAACGAAAGATCTAAGCATGTCACACATTTCCTGATCGCGCGGTTGCACCGACTTTCCGCGGGCGCGCGAGGGGCGTCAGCTTGTTGAGAAAATGAAGAAACAATGGTCCTTCCATGGTCTGGGCGGTTCAAACGGGGAAAACACGGCGTTTGTTTACCCCAAACCCATCCGCGCATCGCTCGCCCCCCCTCCGTTTCACGGCCGCCCGCCTCTGGGGCGCGCAGAATCGGGCCGCGTGGGGAAGTCGCGTCCGTCGGACGGCCTGGACGGGCGGTGTCCGAGCGGAGGTCAATTGCGCAATTGCTGAGCTGAAATAGAAACGGGTCCAAGTCGAACGCGGCCTCTCCGTCGAACAGCATGGCAGATTCTCGGATGATCTTCTCCATGCCTTGCTGGCACTCCAGCGCCGCCGCCGTCTTGTCCAGAAACTGCTGCTTGGGGTGGGGGCTGCCACCCTCGCCCTCCCCGAAACATTTCTCTGCGCGACAGCGCCCGGCAACCTCCTGAAGCACGGGGGGGGACCTCGCCTGGAAGATCGAATTGGCTCTCGTCTGATCCCACGCCCACCAGTCGTCATCGCGGCTGCAGTACATGATCGGGCATTGGTCCCCTTGAAATAACAAGTACGCGAGCTGCGCCTGCAAGAACTGCGACAAATTGTGGTGGCCAGGCAGCTCCTTATAAATAATATACATACAGGAGGCTGGTCTTCGGGGCGTTCGCGTACTGGGCAAGGAACTCGTCGAGGCGGCCAGTCAAGGACGCATTCCTCGTTCGGGCTGCAGCCGCCGCGATGCGACTCCACTCTGCCTGCGGCGGCTCGGGCGGCAGCATCTGCGACATGGCGACGGCCTGGGAAAATTTTGGGATATTCAAGTGCCCGGGTATTCGCGTGATCGGGTATTCGGGTATTCGGGTAATCGAGCACTCGGGCATTGGGGTATTCGGGTACTCGGGTATTCTGGCATTCGGGTGTTCGGGTGCTCGGGTAGTCAAGTGTTCAAGTATTCAGGTATTCGGGTATTCGGGTATTCAGGTATTCAAGTATTCGGGCATTCGGGGCGGGGGGGGGGGGGCGGGCATTCGGAGCGGGGGGTCGACATTACCCGAATACCCGAATACCCGAGCACCCAAATACCCGAATACCCGAATACTCCAATACCCGAATACCCGAATACTCGAAGACGCGAATATCCGAACACCCGAATACCCGAATACCCGAATACCCAAATACCCGAATACCCGAATACCCGAACACTCGAATTCCCAAACACCCAAATACCATGATACCCGAATACCCGAATAACCCGAATACCTGAATACATGAATAGAGAAAACCAAAGTATCCGAATACCAAGTTCCCCGGGGCCGTGAACCGCGGGACCTCGAGGCTCGACTGATGGCGATTTTCACGCCGGGTCTGGGGCGGGGCATCGCGTCGCGCGCGCGGGGATCTCTCGAGCCCTAACTTGCCTTGGCTCGGCGCGGGCAGACAACGGCGCTGCCCTCGCCCCGCTTCCTGCCTGTCCTGCGCAACGGGGGGATGTTCATTGTTTCGCAATGAATTCACTGACAGCCGCGAAGTAGTCTCGCCCCAGCGCGCTGTCACTGGAGCACGCGTGGGCGCTTATAGCCAAAGACCGCGGAGATCTTCACGTCCTGGCGGCTGGGCGCATCGCTGATCCCCTCCCACGTGATGCACTGGTACTCGGGCGCGGTCAGCTCCTCGCGCATCTCGCGCTTCACCTGCGGGAGCACGCAAGCGAAATCAATGAATGCCCGAATGTCCGAATACCCGAATACCCGAACGCCCGAACACCCGGGCACCTGAATACCCGAATGCCCGAATCCACGAATACCTGAATACCCGAATACCCAAATGACCGAATAGCCAAATTCCCGACGCTGGGGAGCTGGGGGGCGAGCGAACCTCGAAGCTCGACTGATGGCGATTACCGCGCCCCGTCGCCATCTGCACCGTCGACGACAGCGGCGCCACGAGTGAGTCGATGAGAACAGCTCTGGTGTTCGCGCTAGAGATCTTCAAGATGCCTCATCTCGCTCGAAGCTTGCGAAGAGCAGCTCGACGTCCACGGCGAGCGGGTCGACGCACCGCGTGAGCACGCGCGGAATGCGGTAGTCAACTGACAGCCACGTCAGAACCCCTGGGGCGGGCGGCGGAGCAGCGCTCAAACGCCAGAACTTCTTGTGGAACCGAACGCCCAGGGTGATCCAGATTTCGCCCTCGCCCCCTGCGATGCGCATCGCCTGCTTCTTGCCGAGGAGGTGCCACGCCGCTGCGTGGAAAGCAGCGCCGTCTCCGCGGCCGACAAATGCGAACTCCATCTCTGGGCACTCCGCCGCCAGCGAAGCAGAGCCTGTGCGCGACGGCGGCCCTCGCTCGGTACGAGCACTTGAGCCGCGACGCCTGCTGAAGCGGCAACATGCGCGCGGCGCGCCCAATCGAGAGCACCGCGAGCAATGAAATTATCAGGTTCACAATGCGATTGTCCGTTGGAACCGCCTGAACCCATGGAAAACCATATGTTTTTACGAATTTCAGGATCGCGCGGTCGCCTGACGACGTCCGCGGAAGCGCCGACAAAGTCGCCGCTGTATGAAATGGCATCGGAGAAAAGCCCCAATCATAATTGTCTTACGGCTTCAGGGCTATGGGGCTATAAAGCTATAGGGCTAGAATGCTATGGGGCTATAGGGCTACAGGGCCATAGGGCTATAGAGATATCGGGCTATAGGGCTATGGAGCTGTAGGGCTATAGGGCTATAACGCTATAGGGCGATTAGGGCTACACGGCTACTATATAGAGCTGCCGGGCACCTGGGCACCCGGGCACCTGGGCATCCGGGCACCCCCGGGCACCCGGGCGCACGGCGAAAATCGTCGGCAAACCTAACCGAACCATATGAACCCGCTAGGACCCCCACAGAAACAAGCTCTGATTGGGGAAATACACACAAACCAATAGGTGTTCGATGGTTTGGGCGGTTCAACCGGGGAGAACGCAGCTCATTCTGACCCCGAGACAATTCCTGCATCAGGCGCTCCGCAGCACAAGCTAACCATCCAAGAGCCAGCGTCAGAACCTGCAGGTTCCCGCGCTAACCGCTGGCGCCCCCGAATTGCATCTATCGCGGCTGGCTCAGCGTCTCCCCATTGCGCCGCATGATGGCCGCGCTGTCCTGCATGGTCTTGGTCGTCGCCTTCTTCTCGCGCTCGGCCGGCGCATTCGCCCTGAGACCTGGGCACTGCCCCGCGCGCGACCCGCGAGCTTGATTGTTTCTCGGTTGGGCGATTGTGCAAGTCCATGTTCAGCTGCCTCTGCCACGCTTCGCGACGCACGGTCGCGCGGGCTGCCAGCTCCTCAGCCCCCGCCGCAGGCGAAAACGACCGAGGCGGGTGCATTCACCCTCTGCTCCGCCACCGCCACCACGTCGTCGGAAGCCGCCCCCTCGTCTGCGACGGCCGCGCCCGCCGCGGAACCGCCCTGCCTGAGCGCGCCTGCGACGACGAGCCCAGAAAGGATGCAGATGGTTTGCCTATCGGTCAGCTTCTGGAGCGAGGGATCCCCGAGGTTATTGTAGGCGTTGGTGAGCATGCGGTTCAGCCCGTGCACCTCCTGCTCGATCTCACGCCGCTCGAGGTGCTGCTGGTACGCGCACTGCGTCCAGCGCGTGAGGAGCCGATGTTCGGGGTGCCAAAGAGTGCCGCACGTGACGTGGAACCCCCCAGCCATGGCCCTGATCAGTGAGTTGTTCATGAGGTATCCGAAGTGGCCGCGCCCCGCACTTCATCACATGGAGCGCCGCTATCCCCTTGAAGTTCGTCCTCGCCATCTCTTCTGGGCATGTGGCCGCAATCCGCTTAAGCTCCGCAACGTACTCGGCGTGGGCCTGGAAAGCCCCCCCCCCGCGAACTCGGCTTCTTCCCTGTCGCCCCTTGGCCAAGCTGTCCCCGCTCCGCCCCAGATGTCCGCGCCGCTGCCGCTGCCGTGGTAGAGGTCGTCGGCGGTCGGCACCCAGGGGGTCGCGATCAGGGACTTCTTCTGAATCGCCATGATTGCGCGAGAGCAAGAATTCCGCTCCTGCCCAAAGCAATGCTCCACGCGGAACACCAGGTGCATGACGTCCTCGGCACGCGCGAGGCCGTTGGGCAGCGCCTCCAGGAAGCCTTCGCTGGGCGAGTCGACGAACAGAAAACGCACCTGGCCGATCATCTCGCCCATGAAGCGGTCGCGGAAGGCCGCCGTGAAATGCTCGATCCCCTCTTTCGGCTGGAGGCTGAAGTCTCGGAAAACGCCCGTGACTCCGATGAACGCGCGAGCAGCGCGGCGCTTGCCGTCGCGCTGGGCCATGCGCGCCTGCCCGATAATGGAGAAGGTGATATTGAATCTGGCGCGATGCGCTATCGCCACCCATTCGCCCCGCTCCGTCGCGGCAGTTTTTCAAGCGTCGGAGCGCATGCTGGGCGAGGCCGTCTGGGTTTTGAACATTACAATCACGGACTCCTTCACCGTCGCCTGCAGCGTGGGAAACAATAGCGGCGCGCCCTCTGTTTCCTCGGCCCACCTGGCTATCATCTCGTCCACCGAGGCGGCGACGTGGCCCCTGCATTGGAGCGCCAGGCCATTGGCAGAGTCTTCGAAGTCGCGGGGGTAGTAGACCTTCTCGTTCGCGCGGATTGCGTCGGCCGCCCTGCGCTTCAACCAATGCTCAGGACCAGAACGCGCAAAGACCATGACGACAGGGACCTGGTCCTTCCGTTTCAGCGCCTCCAGCTCGGCGGGCGGGACACCTCGGTTCCATCCCCAAATCATGGAAGCGCTCTTCTCGAGGAGATCATCGGAGGCGCTGGTTGGCCCGCATATGCTCTGGGCCAGACGATGGCGGTGCAAAGCCTTTGCGACGTCGAACTGCGGGTAAGTCTTGGCGCGGAGGCCGCGCGCCGCCGCCGTGAGGAATGGGGGCCGCGTGGTACTTCATGTGTTCGACAAGCTGCGCCCTGCGCGTGAAAAACCGAACTGGGCACGAATGGCGCGTCTGCTCGACGACGTCGCCAGCGCCGCTGGCCGCCCAGCGACGGAGAGCGCCATTGCACTTGCCCACCTCGGCCGCCAGCGAAGCCGCGAAGAGTCCGGCGGCGCCCTCGCCGACGTTCGCCATCCGCGGGGCAGCCCGCGGCGACGCTGCTGGGGTCTCGAGCCAGCGAGCCGCGCAAAACGAAGACGGCGATTGGGAGAGAAGTGCGAGACACAACTTCAGGAGAGAAGCTTGGGCGTGCGAGAGTAGTCGACAACGACTGACAGTTTTGGGCAACTGCAACTTGAGCCAACACAGTTGAATAGCTTGAGCCAGAAGTCCAGCAGTGCGAAAAGTAACATTCAATTGCTAAGCGTCTTCTCGAGCACGTCGCCGAGCGGCTGCCTTCTCCATCTGCCGCGCAGCCGTCGCGAAGCGGCTCTTGCGTATGAGCTCGGCGACGAATTTGGCCATCGCCTGCTTCTGCCTGCGCGCGCCTCCCTGACCCGCCTGGCGCGCGTGCTCCGCGTTCCAGAAAGTCCTCTGGCACCCAGCGCAGGCCTGCCTGATGGTAGCGTCGTTGACCACCGAGGCTTTCGCCGAAGCACCTGCCCCCCCCGAACGCTCGCCCCGAGCTTTCCTCGTAAGTCGCTAGCGATTTCTGGAGCAAGCCCTCGCCGTTGAACCAGACTCTGGTGAGCCGGATTCCCTGGAGCACCGAAGCAAAGGGCACCTTTCTGGGGTCACGGAGAAGCGCGCGGAGCTCCAGGTCGGCGGAGTTGAGCGCGCGCGAAGCCCCGCCGACA